TACATGTACTATATTATACATATATACCCCAACAAAAATCCAGTCACACCTGTGATTATTATTATAATAAAAATAACATCCACATAATATTGTGAGTATGTATACTTAAGGTAAACATAATTATAATTACCATCCGCCACTGGTAAGAGAAGTAAGTCATGTTTTTTGAATCTATCTAAAAAAACAAAATTAACAATAAATGTATTGTGAAAATATGATAGCTGGTTAGATAAATCATAGGATATATATATATATATCTGTATTTATATCTAGGTTTGTAGTATAAAAACTTAAATTATACGTACCATCTGCAAACGAACAAACAACACAGACGGATAAAACAATAAAGAAGCACCTGATAGTTGCCATTATAAAGCGAATGAGAGTATACTGCGGTAAAGAGAATATTAAACGTGAAGAACAACTGTAGGATTGTGAGGGAATCTAACGAATGAAGATCGAGTTACCTATATCGAGCCGTTAGCAAAAATATAAAAACTACACCTGATCATACAGAGTAAACAACAATAATTTAAAATTTTACCAACACAAAATATGTAATGTGTGCCATAGATTTGGGAGGGCCCTCAGTTATTAATTTGCAGAGAGTATGCCAGAAAGACGAAAAACATGTTGTAAAGCGTTCAAATTGAATAAATATTGTTCACTGTTGATTCAGCTAAAAAAAATCCCATATATTTTTTTAACCCCGCGCTAGATCTACCTTCAGCCTAATTTTCAGACCTTGTGTTCTAAAACTTTGCTCGAAAATGATAAATTTAGACAAAATAGTTACCACCCCTTCTGGGGTTTGGGAAATTGTTTTGGTTATTTTTGTACTTTAATTGTCTACTTACTTTATCTTAAAAATATAATACCATACAAATTTGAAACTAATTGGACTGTTCTTTTAACTAATTAAACCACCATTTAACCTCATACAAAGTTTATATTTTTATAATTATATTTAAATTTCTATAATATTATTACAATATAATTTTATTCCACCCGAATAGATTTAGCTACATAAAGAGCTTATTAGTGTTAAACAAAATCGTATGTATTCGACTATTCCACAAGGACCGTTGCAATGTAAACAAATGACAAATGTATATGTTGGTATCGTAAAGTTTCAATATTATTATTATTCTTCGGCAAAAACAAGTTGTTTTCATATTTCGTTTTGTCTTTTGTGTACTTAAGTGTTCAAAGCATTTTTCTGAAATCCCTATAGCTATGTAAACAAATGGAAAATCTTTAAAATTTAACACAATACAAAAAAAAAATATGTATAGCTTTGTTTTTGGTCCAAATCAAGATTTCATTAAAATTATTTCAGTATAGCTATAATATTATCACATAACATACTAATATAATATTTATTCTTCTTAACCCAGTGGTGGGTGAGAGAGTCGTTAAAGCAGTAGATCCACTGTAGAGAAGTAGCAGAAGACAGAGAGAGATGGAGGGAAATTTGTTGTACGGGATTGTCTTAAATGCCGGAAACCCCCCCCCCCAAAAAAACCCCATTGGGGGGTTTGAGATGGAGGGGGCGATGAGGCAATCGCCCCCCTTGGCTCAAGTTTATGTACATATGTTATTGTAAATTATGAGAATGTTTAGTTTATAAGTGCGTGTAATAAATTGTAATTATTAATTCATCATCAAGATAAATTATCATTAATAATATGATTATAATTAATAACAATTTTATTATACCTACAAGAGACAAAAATCTCTCCCCCCCCCCTGAACAACCCCTTATATATTTAATCATTAATATTTTATGCACTCAACTTGCGTTTTATATTTGATTTCAATCTTATGTTTACACAAAATCCAATGATTTATTTTCTTACATTATCATGTACAGTGTTTTACCACCATTTATGTATAACCATGTATAGTTTTATTTTTTACTTATCGAAAACATGTTGTTTTTCACAACAACTGTTGCCAACTAAATTAATAACAAAGAACTGTAGGTATCATGCATTTTTAAGTTTTAACATTATACATTACAAATTTACTAATACAGAATTAAATTTGTCTTTTTTTCGAAAATAAGTGTTTTTAAAAGCATTACGTTTTGTATTTAATGTACTTAATTGTTAGAACTATTTATTTGCTCGTACACTAGAACCCTGATTTTACAATAATTGTAGAAGATTAACATGGTTCATGGCCGTCTCTGCTTTATATGGAGGACCCACAACAGGATTTATAATCAAACCAGAAAATATTAAGAAAACAGTTAATTTTAGGTGCATTTTATCTATTACTTTAGCTACAACAAATTAGTGTACAACTCAAAAACCACACGAATAGATTATTTTCTCTACGAATCCCAGTTTTATAAAGAATAAAAAGCCTAAGTATATATAAATAATAAATAAATTTTCCCAAATAAGATTGCTTAAAATATTTATGTTGTGGTTATTGTGTGTATTTTAATATGAAATATACGTTTTCGTATTTCAATACATTTTTTTAAAAGCGCATAAATATATTTCTAAATAAATCTAAATATATTTTAGAATGGAGTGTCTATCAAAAACTGTCACAGTAAACCTCTAAAGTTCAGTATTTATTTTTATTCCAAAAAAAAAATTACATATAAGTAGTAGTAATTTGGGGCTTTACCGCCCATTTTTACAAATTATAGTTTAACCTTATATATTGTTTAGTATAGAAAATTATTTGTAACATTGAGTGTTTTACTAAATAAGAAGTGGAAGAAATAAATCATATATAAAAACATGTTTCAAATAAATGATAGTCATTTTATTCAATTTAAACAGTATAATAATGGATGATTATAATAGTGAATGTGATGTTTTTTGTACATTAGACTATTTAGATTGTAAAACGCGTAACAAGACTTTTGATAAATGTAGTAATACACTACTTATTTCAAAGCGAGAACTTATGAGTGAAGCCGGTTTTATTTATATTGGTGATGGATCAAATGATGATGTCTCATGTTTTTATTGTCGTCAAGGTCTGAGATCTTGGGAGCCGAACGACGAACCTTGGATCGAGCATGCAAGATGGTCTCCAGATTGTGGTTATCTTCGGTTAGTGAAGGGTTCACCTCATTGATTTTAAAACCTATTAAATAAAAAAAAGATGTTAATTTATTACAACATTCTTACATTTAAATTAACTCTTTAAATACTAGTAAAACCATGAATTCACATTGTAGACGCAGTGGCGTAGTAGGTTAAGGCGTGACTTTCTAGGATAAATTTAATAGGATGTGGATTGATAGCACTCATGCTAGGCTAGGTAGGTTGAGGTTGAGTCATACTTTAATTCATTCCGTCACTGCGTCTACACTTTTTGCATTTTTTTTTCCAATTAAAAAAATAAAATATAGCGGTAAGAAGAGGGGGGGGGGCTAATATAGTTAATCAAATGTTTTTCAAGTGTTTAGTACATAGAGTTTCGTACAGTAGTACAGTCGATGTTAAAAGTATTATTCCAAGCACAATGCCTTGTATTAAATGTAGTCTACTAGAAGCTATTTATAATTTTATAATTAAATTAGACAAAATTGAACATTCAAATATAGAAAAATCTACATCTAAAACAAAACTTGAGGAATCTTTTGAAGAAGTTCTACACCAGACAAAAGAATTACAAAATGTAAAGAATCTAAAAATTGCACAACCCATTTGGTCAATTACACTGGAATAAGTAGAAGAGGGGGTATGTTTTATACTCAAGGTTTGTATATATATATACGTCATCTTTATGCTAAAGATATAAGTAGTTAATATAGAGTTAAGTTGTACGGACGTTTATGTGCATGCTAAAATTTTATTTAAACAAAATGGCAAATGTGTTATCTAAATCTACGTTCACCATTGACCCCAAAAGAACTATCTCGGTAGGTATTCTTTTAAATAAAAAATTATCTATTATTGTTTATTTAGATTATAAAAATAGTCAAGACCAGCTAATTCTTGATGAAAAACAGTGGCGTACTCTGATGGAATTTCAAATATTCAACAACATTGTGAACACAATTCAAAACAATGCAAAGCGAATACAATTAGGTTCAGATTTTAGTTGTACTACTAACCCTAAAACAGATTCAGTGATATTACGTAATAAAAATGAACGTATGAAATTGACGCGTATAAATTTGTTAACACTTCAGATGATTTCAAATTGTATTGAAGCACATATAACTGAACGCTTAAATAAGTTGGAGTTGTATCAAAAATCTTTTAACGATATATATTCAGCTATACTTAATGATGTTAATAATTTTTCAAGTGAATGTCGACGTATCGATTTCATAACGGCTTTTGTCGCAAACTATGATTTTCAAATGTTTGCAACGGATACAAATGCGCTATTCATCCATGAATTAAAAATTAATTATGATCAAATTATAAATTTGATTATGCGAGAACTTCTAGTAACTATAGTATAATTTCGAAAAGGAAAAAAAATATATGTATTGAGAGAGGGAAAACGTATACAAGCTAATTATTTAAAAAAATATTTCACTCGTTTTAGTTTAGAAATAGCCGTCTTACAAGAAGGTATAATAATGCCTTCACATTTAGAATGCTGCTCCTGTCGAAAGTGTCGTTTGTTAAAATATATAATTATTGAAGCAACCAAAAATAGTGTTAAAATAATTAATCAAAACTTAGAAAATGAATAATTTAAGAACTAAAATAACATTATGAACATGAATATATTATTTTTATTTGTGTCAATATTTGTTTTGTCCTCCATATCCATAACTTCATGCAAAACGAAAATAAGTGCTAAAAATTAATATTATGATTTAATTATAATATTTATTGAAAAATTATAATTTATTATATAATTAGATATTATTATTTTCCTATAAATTTTCATTTTTTTTTACCTTTTTCCGTTTGTGGTCTTGTTTTAAAGAAGGTGTCACCATTAATTATTAAATAATAACGATTATTAAGTTGATTATTTTATTTTTATTTATTTATGCTATTTAAAACTATCTTTAGCTGAACTAATTCTTTGTTTATCTAGCTGTATTATGTAATTTATTGAAAAAGATTTTTGTAAAAAGAAGTGAGTACTTAAAATGCATAAACTTAGTTTTATTAACACATGATTACAAGTTTTTTTAGTTTTTTTTTTGTTTAATATGTATGTAGAATAACAAAAACCTAAATATTGTATAATTAAAAACGTTCTACTATTTGAAGCCTTTCGCTTCTTATCAATTAAAGTGGAATGTTGGCTAATGTTAATGTGTTATAGTATGTTATTAAAGTTTAAAGTATAGAAAAAATTACTTTCTACGAGTTCATTATAAGGAAAGTTATACAAAAATATTACATTATTACAGTTCATTATTCAATTGTATTATGCATTACATTAACAACAAGAGCAATTCATTTTTTTTATGTATAATACATTTGTCATCAGCACGGTTATTTATTTATTTTTATACATTTTTAAGGTTGTGAGTTTCCAGCACTTGGAAATGCGAGAAGAGATATAACTTTAGAAGCTGTAAAGATTGCAATCCTAAAATATGCTGTACCGCGTAAATATTATATCAAATTTTAAGAGTATAATTCATATTATATATATATATATATATATATATATATTTATATACTCGATATTATTATTTGAAACTACTTTATAGCTGAACTCATTATTTGTTTATTCTAGCTTTTTTGAGTACTAAAACGATAGAAATGCCTTCTTCTGAAACTAGTGAGTATTTAAAAGCCATAATCTTGTTTTAGTTTTTTTACAAAATTAATTTCAAATAATAAAAACTTAAATCTTGTGTGATTAAAATATGTTATTATTAAGTATAGAAAAATTACTTTCTACGAGTTCATCATAGGGAAAGTTAACAAAAAATTACATTATTTCAGTTCATTGAATGTATTATGTACCACATTATTAACACGAGCTGTTAATTATTTTTTATGTATACTATTATTGCCATCAACATGGCTATTTATAAAATTGTAATAGTTTAGTTTATATTATAATTTATATATATTAAACTGATTAATTCAGTTCTTGTTCTTTATTTTCCTAGGAACTTTTTGGGTTTGTCACTTAACACACACTTCAACCCCTATTATGCCACAAGATCAAATGTAAGAGGTAATAATACACAAGAATATAACTGATTTCATATCATTCAATCTAATAAGTGTGACTAAAGTGATTATTTGTAAATATATAATATTTAGCCACCACTAACACATGTTTGTCTTATAATAATAAATATTCAATCTACTACAAAGTTATATTGAACAAGGCAAAACTCTAGCTCCATTTGCAATGTTTTATTTGTAATAAAAAAGCCTGTGTATTTTATAGAATTTTCATGAATAATGACATATGATACACAGAATGTCTGGTCATTCTATCACCATTGAAAAAAGTTTCTGACTAAGAGTAATATCTGTACAATAAATGTATTATATAGTAACTAGTAAGTTAAGTTTAGTAAATTTTAAATCAACTTTTTTTATTTTTTAAGTTCTGGAGCATAAAATGTCGAAACGTTTTGACCGGATGTGTCGTTTAAGAGGATTGTGCTGTAGTATAGTACTACCAACACTTTTATAAAAAAACAAACTCTTTATTATATATTTATAGTTGAAGGTGAAGGTGATACTTGTCTTTTAACTAATTGTCAAGACAGTTTTGAGAGATTCAGTTGGATGGGCGTAGCTTATATTTAGTCAATAAACATCATTAATATAGTAAAAAGGATTCTTGCTTCTCAGTTATTATAATTTACACCAGAAATCTTAGAGATAACTTATTAAAAATTATACAGCACTATTGTTATTATATTAAAATAATTATTTCAAACCGCACATTCCAAATTGTCATATTATCTAATGTATTTTATAATAAACAGTTTTGTTTACGATTATAAACTTTCTGAAAGTAAAGAACTTAGTAAGAACTAAAAAATAAGTTTTCAGAAAAGTCATTATGATTCATTGTCAGCAAATACAAACTTTTAAATTATCTTTCTCGGTCGACTTAGCTTTTTTAAACACCCTATAATAAATATTTTGGAAATGACCTATTCAATTTTCTTAGTTACCAAAAGTGTGAATGAGGGGGAAAAAATGCAAAAAGTTTGTCAGAAGTGGGATTCGAACCCACGCCCTCAGATGAGGACCAGAACGCTCAACCGCCTGCATAGCAGGCCAAGGGAAACCTTGAGTCTGGCGCCTTAGACCGCTCGGCCATCCTGACATGTGTATTAGACGGTCTAAACTAAATGTGATGAATGCTCGTTGAGCCATTAATGAACCCGGGTGAAATATATTATTGTGATTATTATACCCCATAAACCAAAAAAAATATATTTTTAAAATATAATAAAAAATGTTTAAAATTATAACTATTTTTATTGTGCTTTATAGTCAAATTAGCCAAAAAAATAAATTGATACTTGCCCGGAAGCAACATTGTAAAAATCATTTTTCGTGGTCGGAGCTTAACTGTACATACAGCTGATTAAGCAGTGACACACTTCCTTAGTATTTTTTATTGTTGTTTTTTTAAGTTGCTTAAAACTGAATTGTTTTGTTAATATTATTTGTATTGGCCAGTTATTATTATTTATGACCAAATTAAATGTATTAAAACATTTTTTAAATTTGTTGATATGATAATTATCTTTTAAATTGGTTCGGTAAACACCTTGGAAAGTGACTTTGCGTTTTTTTGGTGTTTACTTGAACAAAGTTTCCGGCTCTTTCCCTTCCCTCAAGTCAAACAAACTTGGCATAGTGTTGTTGCGCATTATTTGGCTGGTAAAATCTAAATGTCAGCCCAGGCCTAACAGCAAAACCCATAATATTAATATAATCAAGAACTCCTGAATTAGTTTTTATCATGAACTATATTTACTACATACCTGTTGGCTGTTAACCTAAGCCAACCTATACCTGTTCCACCCGAGTTGGTTAGCTTTTATGCAAATTCCACCAAATCCCTACACTAAATTATACTAGAATAATATTAAAATAACGTGGACGCCGATGCAGTGTTATTATTATTATTGTATACAATTCTCGCGTGACATTCTACGGAATAGGTACAATGTTTTTAATTGCGTCAATAGGAAAAATGTCAAAAAAAAAATATAAAGAAATACACTTGGCCGCCTCGCTAAACTGTTTGACCAAGACGTGCAAAAAGTTAAAAAAGAAAAAAAACACTGACGTATTTGATTTTTTTTTCGGTAATGTTATTGATGTTATATTTATAGTTGATAATAATATTTTATTATTATAAGGCATCTTAACAAAACGATGAAAAAACAATCTCATTGACGTCAAATTTCGGAAACAACATTTAAAAGAAATATTATACAATATAATATCTTAAAATAGTGTAGAAACGATAATAATTAACAATAAGAATAATCTAAAAGTAAACACAATAGGTATAATCAAGGCCGGATCTACCAACAAGCAAAATAAGCATTCTTTCCGGCCCTCGGAAAAATTCGGCCCATAAATCAGCTGATACCTATTTAAAAAAATATTTTTTAAAAGATTTTATAATATAATATATAAATGTATATTTACCTATTATATAATAATTTTGTTGGACTGGTTAAATGTGTTCAACTTGACATGCGTTGTAAATAATCGTTTTTTATCGTAGAAATAGGGGCGAGAGAAAATCAAATAAATTCATATTAAAAAAATGCAAAAAGTTTGTCAGAAGTGGGATTCGAACCCACGCCCTCAGATGAGGACCAGAACGCTCAACCGCCTGCATAGCAGGCCAAGGGAAACCTTGAGTCTGGCGCCTTAGACCGCTCGGCCATCCTGACATGTTACATCAGCGCGAAAATAGCTCCATTTAACACAGTCAAAGTGATGTTATATTATAATTGATTAATTTTTACCGACCACTATTTTTTAATTAACATAACGACTATAAAAAAAAAAATAAATCATTCACGAATTTTAATAATTATACAGTTATACCCATTAAGTAAAATGTTATTTAAAAAAACATTTTGGCGAAATAACAATTTTTTTGCTGTTTTAAGTAGGTATATATTGTATTGTGTTATAAAATATTAAGTGCCATAACACTTAATATAGTCTAAATTTAAATTAAACAGTATTATTATTACATTAGAGAGGTATGTATTTCATAAAACTTTAAATATTCACCTATTATCTTTGAGCTAGAAATTTAGCTATATCAACTTTTTAATAGTTTTTAATACTTTATGATACTCACGTGTCACTTGGGACATAAGCATTGATTATTATTTAATATGTATGTGATACTGAAATGTTTTTGAAAAAATATAACCAAAAGAAAAATGTAATTCAAATAATAAGTTTTAATTTTCTTATAAATAAAGTACAATAATTGTTGTTTTGTATTAATAATATGTTTTAAATCTTTTTTTTAATAGTACCTACAAAATTCTATACTACTAAAAATTTAGCTACCATTTTGATACATGATACACGTATAAAAATCATCAGTTATGCAAAAATTGCGGGTCAAGTTGTAAATTTTACATAATAATATTAACATTATCATATTTTGGTTGGGCTTTAAAGTATCGGCAAGTTAAAAGGCAGTCGCAGGTTTAATAAAATAGTAAGTAAATTATATTTTGGATTTTTAACTGTAGTAGCTGTTATACATGCTGCGCTCTAGTGGAATGTATTGGAAGATCATTTTTCAATTTCTCAACACTCAAATGCCATATTATAGTGATATTATAATATTACAAAACAAATAAAACCCATAATCAGTTTAAACGTCAACATATTACTTTAATTCAATTCTAAAACTTATTAGTACATTTCCCTAAATTTGTATATTTTGAGAAGATCGCAATTTAATTTAAAAGTAGTATGTAGGTAATTACTTTTAACTATTTGTACTTTGAAAATCAGCCGTATACCAGATACTTATACAACATAAATAATGTTTGAAAGAATTGAAACATAATATTATCTTCATACACCGTGCATCTTATTTTCATTTTTGTTTGGGAAAATTTTCGCCTCAATTGACGTTTTTTTTGTTTTTATTAAATTATTTAGGTTGTTTTTTATTTCTAAGTATAACCGAAATCGCTTGTTTACATGTATATCATATATATATACATATGAAAGGTAGATGGCGGTAAACGTTACAGTCGCCTTACAATTAATACCGGTAGATGTCGTTGGTGTGATCGAATACGGTGTTCCGGACAAAAGTTTTTTTTAAAATAAAATTAATACAACAATGCATTAATAAACGCACAAAAAACGATTCTGGTTTTTTTTTGTTGATAATTTTATTCACCTTACGGTTTTAAAAATAATAATAACATAATATAACACACTGAAAATAAAGTTTTATAAATATTATACACATCCACTTTCTTCTTTTTTTTTTTGTACACATATTTATCCATTATATCATACACAATACACATTCTACACAAATATATTAATAATTAGTAATTAATAGTAATAATAATAATAATAATAATTGTAATTATTATTCAGGAAAATAATGCGAAAAAAGTCAAGTTAAAAATTCGAGAACATAATAAAGTACGCCTTAACGTCGTCCCGTTAATTCGTGTTTTTTTAAAACATTTTTTTTTTTTTAATGTAAATCCTAAGTATACCGCGGTACATATTTTTTTTTGCTTTTTGCTTTCTCCCAAGGTATACACTTGATTCAGTACGTTTCACCGACACGGGTGTTAAGTAAAATTACATATTATTTGTACAAAAAAAAAAAAAAACAAATTTAACATAATAATAATAATAACGATTGGTGGTTGTTTGTGTATAAAAAAAAAATAATAATAATAAGAGAGCAAGTGTAGAAACAGAGGTAGGTCCACGCGACGACGTGTGATCGGTATAGGGAAGACGAGGGAGAGATGCAAAAAACAGGGTCTCGTTCTCCCCTTTATTTTTTTTTTTGGGGGGGGGGCGCCTTTGGCTTGGTGGGTGACCGTCCAGGACGAATGACATTGTCTTGGAATCACAGTCGTCCTGCACGCACGCGGCGGCTCTATAATATATTATTATTATTACTTTTTTTTTTTTTTTTGATATGCACTTAAAACAACAAAAAAACAAAAAAAATCTAACAAAATCAACGCGGTAGGTATCTCGTTTCGGCTGGTCGTCAGTTCGGGTCGGGCGGGGGGGGGGAGGGTACTTATACATTATTATAATTTTATTTTATTTTTTGTCTCTTAAAAAATCGTTATTCTGCTAAAGAATTTAATAAAAAAAAAAAAAAAAACATCCTTGATCGTTTGGCTCGAGATGCACCTCCCCCCTCCTCCTGTCGTCGACCTCCTTAACTGGGCGCCCTGGCCGTGGTGTCGTTGTCGGGGGGCGACGTCGGCGGCAGCGACTCGGGCGTCCTGGCCGTCACCACTTTGGACTCGGCCGCGTCCACGCCGCTGTAACAGCTCTCGGAGTCCTCCAGCGAGGAGTGGTCGTCGCCTTCGCTGAGAAACTTGGCCCCCGCGGCCGCTTTCGGCGAACACTTTGCCCCGCCCCCGCCGGAAGTGGCCGTCACGCTGGCCGGATCAGACTGTTCCGACGTGGTCACCGTGTCGTGTTTCTTCCACTTGGTCCGCCTGTTCTGGAACCATATCTTCACCTGTGCAAGACAAACAAAACAAAAACGGAACGTTAGCAAAATGGGCGACATCGAAAAAGGCACAGTGGAGTGTAGTCGGTGTGTGCTAACACACGACAATGATAATCTTAAGAGGTTATGTAATTAAAGTTGTTATATAAAAACTACATTCGTATACACAAGAAGAAGTTGTAAAGAACAATAAAAGTAATTATGCGATAAAACCTAAGAGCAATTTATATTCAAAAACAACAACAACAACAACAATTTACACCACGTTGACTGCCACAGTACTTTTCATCAGAATTCCGGTCTAAATAGCCAACTTAATTTATTCATATTATATTATTAAAAACTCTAATTATAGTACATATGGTTATCATCAAAATGCATTTATAGAAGTTGTTTTAAAAAAAGTACGAGATGAATTTAAGTACGAATAACTGAAAGTGGTAGTCACTTGTTTTTTGTGTGATAAATATCTTTGTCCGAGGCCTGCTACATTAGGATACTTCGACACAAATTTAACCTTAATAATATACAATTATAATTAAGTACTTAACGTGGCCACAGATTTATTTTAAAATTAAGGCTTTGCGGCCCAAGTGACCGGATATTGTGTAAGTATCGATTAGTTAAGTCGAGTTGGACAAACAAAAGTTTCTCCTTTGTTTTCTTTAAGAGCTACATTTTCGTGCGATTCATTCGGTTTTGTTTTTTGTTTTTATACACCACACGGTTTACCACGCACCGAAGAACTTGTTCCACATCGTTTTATACATGGTTGTAATTGTAAGTACACCAAACACGGCGGAGGACAATTGGACCGTTATGAGCTCCTGTACGGAAAAAAAAAGCCAAGAATACACCCTCCGCCGCCAAAACGTAATTGTATTTTTGTATTTTCTTACCGCTCGCTTTTCCTCGACCATTTTACCGGGAAAACAAGTAAGGGTGTATAATGATACACTTGTGTATACCCTCAACTTGCTGCCCGCGCTACCGTGTAACTCGGGGGACTCTCCATCCACCTACAAGTATGTAATTATTGTTTTCTCAATACAGTCTCACGGGGTCCGGGACCTCGTAAAGAATTTAAACGACTAATTTGATTCCCGAAACGCATTATAACAGTTCGAGAATTGCGAAGCGTTTCGTTTGAGACGTTCTTGCGAGAATTTACAACAAAAAAAAAAACTGAGACAATTCAAATAAAAAATGCATATTTCCAACAAATTCATCGTGGCAATAATTACATTCCACGCGGTATACCTGTGATTTTTTTCAGTCTCTAACCTACAAAAAAAAAAAAATGGGGGCCTCCGTCGGTTTTAAAAGCACGCAACACTCAAATTTTGGCAGCCCAATCAAGTCAAACAAGAATGAATTTTCTGGGTATGAAATCAAAATTTGAAACAGATAAATTGTTACTGGAAATATTAACGAAGCACTTGTGTTAATCATGATACAATTGACTCGCTGACAAAATAACATTTAAATATATTTCGACAATATTGCCGATAACCAAGCATAATTCGATTACGTGCATAATATATTTTAATTTGATTGAAAAAAGGACATTGATACTCTTGTGCGCGCATGTCAATCACCCGGGGACGACGTTTCTTGCTGCGTAATATCTATAGGGCTGAAAGTGGATCCCTCCGTTCGTACATACACACCGAACAAACAAAAGGAAGCACAACCCCCGGACAAACATATCCTCGCACACACTTAAGGTCACGCGACTAATACCCAAGCTCTGCAACGTGTCTGCTGCCCATTATAGTAATGAGTCTCCAACACGTCGGAACACAATGACGATCGAGGGTAGCTCACACAATAATAATAATTATATATAAAGGTGGTGCGAGTAGTAGTAGTAACTATTGTGGTGGGAACGTCCCATTTACTTATCACTCCTATTTTAGAAATTATTATGTTATCCACCTTAGAACACCCCCCCGGAATCCCCCGCTGATAAGAATACCACCGGATAAAAATCGCCGCCCGAATCCCAAACCCATTATCAATCCCAAAACAGGTGACCAACCAAAGCAGTTTTTAAATTTAACTGACAAATCACTTTGGCTTTTGAACGACTATGAACGAAAATTGACTGTAGTGGTTTGTTGCTATACATAGGATCTCTGTACAGAGATAATTATGCAGAGTGCGGTATTCAATAAAACACTGACGGATTAATGATCGACATAGTATGAAAAATCTCAAACACCAAACTAAGTTAAATACTATGCGCGTGGGTTAGGTTAGGAAGTTGTGTTAAAGTCTAATCAGCCGAGGTATACCGTACACGTGTCAATTCACAAAATCGCACCACAATGACAGTGCAAAATCAATTTTTCCCCAAACGTTTTAGCGGAAATTTAAACACATTACTACGAGTTATCATTTTTTTTTGTCAATATCAACAAGTGGCACAATTTGTTCAGTAATATTTCCAGTGATATTGTGGGTACAACACTGTTTGACGCGAAGGAAGTAATTCGTCACGATCAAAGTATATACACAATCGCCGCATATAACGGCACGATCCCCCGTCGAGTTCGGACTTAGGCCCGTGTGTGTGTGTGCTTTCCCGGCCGCCGCCGGGGAGGGTAAAGGCGATTGATGGTTTTATACCGGACTTAAGAAGGGACACGGGGGGGGGGGGTGGTGCGTACACAGGAAACGACGACGACGACGACTTTATCCCTATAACAACGTCGACGGGCTTAAGGAGGAGACATCAACGATGCTTTAACCCGGTCGTCGTCCGCCTTTCCCTTCTCCGGCCTGCCACCAATGCTAACCCGAATAATTTTCGACCCCGCGACAAAGACGGAGAGAAATATGAACCCTTTTTTTTTTGCCGGGGTTTTTTTTTTTCGGTTCGGACTTACAATATCCAGGCGGCGGCTCGGAGGGTGGTCGTTACCGACGGGGCACATAATTCGTATTACAACACAAAGCGTCGGCGTGCGGCACACGCCGGTCGTATTGAGCCATTAGTGTGTTTTATGTAGTTATAATAGTCGTCGTCGTCGTCGCCATCGTCGTCATCCTCTGCCAGTGCATTGCTACTACCACCGCTTGCCGTTCGTTTATTGATCTCACCCCTTCACCGCGAACCCCAAGTACCGGCAGAGTGCGGTATGATATATATATATATATACACATTACTCTTGTTAGAAATCCGTTTGTACCGAATAAAACGCTCGTTTTAACTCTATTATATATATATATATATATATAATACACACACACACACGCACCTTTAAGCGCACTCGCTCTGCCCTTGTGTAGGAGAGAAACGCCACCCTCCCCTTGCCAAAGAGGAATAAACGCGGTAAGATAGAGCAAGGGGTGAGCAACGACGTCCCTTCCCTTTCTTTCTTTGTCAGTCGCTCGTCAACCGTAATACTCCGCCAAAGCGATCCCTCGGCTGCCGGCCGTGTGACACACAATGCCGAAAAAGGAAATAAAGTAAAACAACTCAAAGCGAACACTTTAAACGATTGTTTTTGGAAGAAGAAGAAGAAAAAAACGTCCCTTTTTTTCGTCCGCGGAGATTAACAATGAGCTATTGATTTTTTCTGTTTTTTACGCGCTTATATGATAATAAATATAAAATACAAAAATATTATAACAATATTAACGATACGACGGTATAGAAATAAAAAAAAAATAAGTACCTTGTCCAACTCGAGATCTTATAAAATATACAATAATCCTATCTATTAAACTTCTACCGACGGCCTATACCTTGAAAAAACAAGTCATATAAAAATAATCTTAATAATAATACAGTGAAAAAGCTGGAAACCGGTAATTTTTCCATTTCGGACAGGCTTTATTTTTTAATAGACTGTCCAACAAATTATACTACTACTTTTCTTAGTAAGACCGTAGCTAGAGGCGAGACAGTGTTAACATTCGTCTATTCATATACAAATTATACAACACATATTGATTGCGCATAGACCTCGATAATAGATTTTAATTTCATTCCATTAATATAAATAATATTTTTTATATTATCGAAATATATTCACACGGCAAGAAATCAAAATATATTAATATTTTCTAAATATCTGAAACATAATTATTTATAAACCGTTTTCAAATCCACAAACAAATTATATTGCCCTTGTAATAATAATATTGTCAGCAATATTTCCAGTTTTTTAGAAAATAATTATGTTTTTTAATTGCTACGATGGTTATACATTATTTTACGTTCTTATAATATTGATACAAGATTAACGATCAATTATTTTTTAATATTTTACATGATAGTATGTAATGGCATTGGCATAACATAATATTATTAGTAACGCTTTATCGTTTAAAATCAAGTCCCTGCCAAAACAGGGTTATGCTATGATTAACATTTTTTTTTTTTTTAAATCAAATCCTAGTTTAATTTATAGTAGCTATTAACGGAAGAGGGGAGGTTGGAAGTATGGGCGAGCCCGGCACATGTTCAAAAAAAAAACAATAAGTAAGTGTGCTGTTTTGGTTTACAAGTACCGGACGACGCTCAATGTTTATGATCGTCTAATATACTTTCTTTTCAGAAGCCATTTCTGGTGAAGTTACCTGCGCGCCATCATCTTGCAAAGTAAAAAAAAAACATTTTTTTTTTTTTTAACATACGTGTAATATTATGTTACCGGCGGAAACGGAACCGTTCGAAAAGGCGACACATTTATTAATAAACTACTACTGGGCGCGTCCCGTCCAAACGTGTCTTAATGGCGGTTCAATTATTATTATTATTATTACTCTACGCCGGCGAAATGCCAGAGAGAAGATTGACTTTTCTTATTTTTTACACTTCGTATTTTTCGTTTAAACGTTTTATAAATACACATTGGAACGGCGCAGGTCGTTCGAGCCCGTCATCGCTCTCGGCAATGTATTAATATAGTAATAATGTAATATTCTAATATCGTGTCAAGAAGAAAAAAAGTGAGGACAAGTAAGCAATACTCTATTATCCCGGACTGCTGAAACGA